CTCCGGGCATCTGTGTCTGTGAGCGGGCTTCGGTCTGGCTTTCCTCAGGTTGTCCACTCCGATATCAGCGTTAGTATGCGAACGTGCCCATTTGCCGTTCCACCATTCTTTTCGCTGGATATCACTCCGGGCATCTGTGTCTGTGTCCTTCCTGTCCCTCTGAAAATGTTTTGGGCTATTTGGCAGAGTTTGTTTTTATCCTGTGTGTTTAAGAATATTCATTGGACTTTCCACGGTCACAGTAAAGAAACTGTAAACAAATCACCATAGAAAGTCCTGATATATTGTTAACAGGAGTGACAATAGTAAGGAATTTTACAGTACAAAAACCAGTGCTGTGAATTCTGACCAGTCTCCTCACAAGATTAATGTGATTCTTTTTTTTTGCACTTATCTAATTAATAAGATACCCTTTACATGATTTCCAATTAAAACACCTCACTTTATGTTCCTCAAGATACGGTATGAGAATTTATTTAACCATCTTCAAAACTCCACTCTGGGCAAATTTAAATGTTTTTTTTTTTACTTTTCTTGAAGTGAAAATTGTACTGTATGTTGATCAACATTTTACTCAATGCTTGTTTTACCATCTGACTAGAACAGTGATAGTCTCACGGAGAGGTGACCCCTCTAAAAAGAACTATTTAGGTTTTGTGCATGATTAAACACCCTACCAATTATAATTGCACACCATTTTGCACACCAAAAATAGACAGGGACAGCTGAAGAAGGCTCCACACCTGAAACATTGTGCTTCTTTTCTTCTTTTCAGCATGGAATAAACTTTTATTTGTTCCTTGGCAGCCTACGCATGCTGACGCAAAAACCTATAGTACTTGAACTACAACAATAGACAGTATTACAGTATAAATGCCCCTTTTATTTTTTTAAGATAAAACAGTTAATACTGTCTATGCAATATCCAGGGCACATCATTTAAAACCCAAACCCAGACCAACAAATATCCCAAGTTAATTCAGTCCCACAGTTCTTTCCTCTTTGTAGCTCTTTGGTAGTTCTTGGGCATCTTCCATGGTCCTGGCTGTCCTGAATAACAAAGCTTCTTTTTGCTCTCCCCCTACCTTGGTTTCTCTGAGACTTATCTGTCTCGCAAAACGTCCTTCATTCATAAATGTCAATTTTTCCGTCCTGACTGGGGCTTGTTTCTGCCTTCTATACAAAGTGCCTTGGCTCTTCCCCCAGTGAGGAAAGATTTGTGTGGGCAGAGCTAAGTAGTCAGAGCATTTTCAGGAAGTGGTTTTCAAATGTTGTCCAGTTCTTAGGCCCCTCTCTCAAACACAGATCCAGTCCTGTTTGCAACCCCACAGATTCTCCCAAAATGGTATAGTAATTGCCCAGCACTTTGTAAAGAGGGCCTTTGATCAGGGCATAAAACTGAATCATCACTAAGGTGACACTGGCCCATCAAGGCAATTCAAATCCATACAACACTTGACGGCTGGTGCCCACACAATCATTCTTTTCACTCTATGACAATAGCAGAGTATTTTCTGAAACTTTCACCATCAAACGTATTTGCATATGAGACACACTGGCAATCAGAATATAGCAATTTTAAAGGAGCTGTTTTGTCAGTATACCTTTAAGAAAAACCCAGAACAAGAATTGAGAGTTACTATAATACACAGTTCGATTTCAAATGAATTAAAAAGAAATAAAAATGGGAATGGCATATAACAAACACCGTTAAGGTAATTTTCACATTCTAAAATAAAAAAAAGACTCCTAGCAACTCAACCAACTGGTCAAGGTATTCATTTGCAGCACAGATTGAGCATTGCTGTCTTGAAATTGCTGGTTTGAATGTGGGAATGTGGGTAATGATACTAGCTGACTTTGACCAGGACTGTGCAAGGTGATGTTCACATTTGATCAAACACTATTGTAGTTTCCATATAAAGCAGAGCCCTGGGGATTTTTTATCCAGCATGTAAAGAGATTTACTCAACATGGACAATTACTACAAACAATTCATACACTAAGACAACTCACCTGGAAATGAGCAGTTGCTTAAACTGATGTCATCCAAAGCCACACGCCCGAGAACTGACATTGTCCAGATTTTTTATCCAGCATGTAAAGAGATTTACTCAACATGGACAATTACTACAAACAATTCATACACTAAGACAACTCACCTGGAAATGAGCAGTTGCTTAAACTGATGTCATCCAAAGCCACACGCCCGAGAACTGACATTGTCCAGACTTTGAAATGTAACTGGAAAAAGGAAACATAAGAAGATACAAAATTATCAGATTTCAGACTTATAATTTATGAATGCAAAGTGACACTTTACAAAGCAATTTGTTTAAATCTATTTTTTACTGCTTATTAAAGAAAGATAAGAATGAACAGTGGAACATAACAATGATAACAAGATCACATATTCAGCAATACACAGCCATCTGGGAGTTAATAGTGTCTTATAATCAAAATTGTATTTCAAAGGCAAAATAAAAATTTGAAACAACAAGGAAAAGGTCTTTGAAGTAAAGTAAATCTAAGAAGAACAGATTGGGATAAGACACTAGAAAGTTATTCAACTGAGAGTACATCATTATGATGGCCAAATGCAATTCTACCAGAGCAGTATAAATTCAGCCTAAAGCCAAGATGATCAAAGTAAAGAAAGCAAAGGTAGCATTAAAGAATACTATGAGAGGAAGCTTTATAGTATCTCCCTGGCATAGGGATGTAAACAAACACAACCAAGTATATTGAGAGTCCCCCCAAAACAAGGTTTTTCTCTAAAATAATAACTGCATTGGGATACAGGAACTATGGAACAGGCAGTCCCCATTACAAGTCACCTGGTATATGTTATTTCCCTGTCATGTTATTGTTGAATTGTGGAACTCAACATAAAAACTCAAAGATTTTCAAGGTTCCCAAAACCAATGTACTGCAGGTAGCTTGTGAATTATTTAGTTTCTGAAAAAAAAATACCATGAAGAGTAATATCAAACACGGAAAATTCTTCTTTCATGGACAACATGACTTAAATTATGAATTATTATGTCTCATTAAAGCTGAGCTCTTATCATCACACATTACTTTGCTGATCAAACCAATTGATCAAGGTGTGGTTGTTAACATTAAATGCACGTACAGTTTGTGTAAGAAATCTACCCTGAAGCAATTAATAACTTTTTCTGGTTTTGATGAGACCACAATTTGAGTTGGTACATTTTTATTTATTGTTTTTGTACATTATATATATATACTGTATAGAAATGTATAAACAGTGTCTGACATGCAATACAAACACTATTAATAAATTATAATAAAACATTAGAATAAATCTATAAATTAGTGAACATGTACAGTATCTCACATAATGTATATTATACTGTACCAGTATTACAAAGGACATTAATAACATGCCCCATATCTTATATTAAGACAAGTCCTCACACTCTCCTGTGTAAGGTTAGCAGCAGAGCAAAGTTCTACTTTTTGTAGACAAAAGTAGAAGTAGCAAATAATATGAATAATAAATCCATAAAAATCTGGAATATTATTTTGAAGGTAAATGAAACAAAAAACAAAAAGAAAACATCTGGATCAACAACCGGAAAAGTGATAGATTATATATATATACATTTTTAAAAAACATATCACGTTATCAACACACAAGTGGGATTTACAGGTCGCATTTAAAGGAAGTTTTGCTACCAATAATGGGGAAAAAAAATAATTATTTCAATGGCTCCAAACTACTGCATTTTCCAATATATTTCAGACTATGGGTTTTTGAACAACTAGAATTTTAAGTATTTAAGCATTAGACATTTTAAACAATCACAATAACAATTGTTAATAACAAGCTGCTACTGTACATCTGAGTACAACAAAATCCCAGTATTTGTGAAATCTTGATTAGCTGGAAATGGTATTATAGGGAATAACCTAATTTTAGAAAAGGTTATATAAAGGGTCTTTTTTCTCTACACAACCCTTGTTTTTGTTCCATCCTGTGGATAAAATCTTGACAGCTATTGGGAAAAAAACACAAATTTATTGATTTCTGTATGATACATATGATAATTAACTTCAAAATTAGGATTAAGACAAGAGAAACCAATGTTTCTACACATTGATTTGTGGATGTTTCAAAGAGATACAAAAACATCTACAGATAGGCAAAGTAAATATACATAGAGCAATGTATACAATATATACAATATATTGAAATTTTATGCCTCTCATGTACAGGTGCAGCCACTCAGAACGAGCATCCATTCTTATTACTGAGTTTGTGGTACTGCAGCATGGTACTGTACATGGTGTGATTTTTTTCTGGACACTCCACTCAAAGCGCTTTACAGGTGATAGGGACTCCGCTCCACAACCACCAATGTGCACCATCCACCTGGATGATGCGACGGCAGCCATAGTGCGCCAGAACGTTCACTATAAGTGGGGAGGAGAACAGAGTGATGAAGCCAGTTCATAGATGGGGATTATTAGGAGGCCATGGACACCAGTGTTACACCCCTACTCTTTTTGTGAAACTCCCTGAGATTTTAAATGACCACAGAGAGTCAGGACCTCGGTTTTACGTCTCATCCAAAGGACGGCGCATTTTTACAGGAGTGTCCCCGTCACTATACTGAAGCATTAGGACCCACATAGACCACAGGGTGAGCACCCCCTGCTTGCCTCACTAACACCACTTCCAGCAGCAACCTTAGTTTTTTCCAGGAGGTCTCCATCCAGGTACTGACCAGGCTCACATCTGCTTAGCTTCAGTGGGCTGCCAGTTGTGAGTTGCAGGGTGATATGGCTGCTGGCCATATTGTAATGTAATACTATATTGCAATTAGTCAGAAAACAAACTAGAACAGCAGCTGTGGGTTTGAGTTTAAATACTGTACTGTATGTATCATATTATAACCACTATGATGTCCATTAATACTAGATAAATACTCATAAGGAGATCCTTTAGACGAATAAGCGAACACATCACTATTTTTGTTTTATGTTTAGGCTATACAGTATTTGTGTCTGCAATACAATAAACAATGAACAATTGTTGAACATTTACTGATAAAAGCATGTACTGCATATTCTTACAACGGAGATAGCAAATCATTACAAAAAGCAGCAGCAAATGTCCAATAACATTAGCAATTTTACTTCTTAAACAAAATAAGCATTGATATAATGCGCTAGTACCTGGGAGTGAATTTCATTTACAAGAAAAAAACTAATTATACTGTATTTGCAGCTCTTAAAAGGGAAACTTAATAGATCTTTTCAGGTCATTTCAGTTCAGTGCTGTTCCTCTGATCTTGTGAGCCTTAGGTATTTTACAACAGTGTTTTGTTTGCCTCTCACTTGGTCTGCTTTCCAGTCCATTAAAAGCCAGCCCAGTCTCTGGGGCATGTGTGGTCCCACACAACTTTGCTTTCGACAGGATGAGCCTCCTGTTCCATCTCCAAGACATTCAGCACACTCCGGCTATTTAAGCACCATTAGCATTAGACCACAGCCACAGGACAGAGAAGGGACAGTGTTCTAAAGAACCGTCATAAATAATTTCCAAATCCTCAATAAGCCTGCTGTCCTCTGAATATCACAAGTGTAGAGTCCCATCACAAAAAAGGAATACAAAAATATAAATTCAATTAAAACCCAGATGTGACAGGACACATTAAACACTTCATCCCATTTACAGTGAATATGTAATTCCTTAATTTAGAAAAACAAAACCAGGCTTCTACTGTATAAACTTTCACACAAACAGTATTACAAAATGACAAAATATTTGAGGGCACATCATACCAGGTGGAAATTGACTCTTTCTCCAGTGGCGACAAAGTGTTAATTTCTTAACACTTAGCTTGATATTTAAATAATATAATGATCGCATATTAACGGCTCTACATGTCATGCATTACCTGTAATACAGTTTCTAATAAAAACAGAGATTAAACGTAATTGTTAGAAATTACACTCTTATTAATAAACACATGTATTAATAAACTTCATTACGAATAATTGTGGTGTGCTTGGAAAGCAATTTTAGTTAAATATTAGAATAATTTTCAATTAATGGATGCTCACTAAGTTTATTACTTAGTGACAATATTATTACCACTATGTTTGGGAACATTCCAGAGTTCCACTTTTACTTTGGGTTTGTTGCAATTGAGAACAGATTTACAGTAATAAATTAGGAAACTACATACTAGTTTCAGCGGCCAAGTTAATTATAATAGGTCTTAAGGTAGCACATTAGTTTAGTACCAAGCTGCATGCTAACCATGGGTTGAACTCCAGTTAATATGTTGCTTTCAGTTTGTTGCAACTGACCCTTTGTGTTTATTCGCCCTTAAATGCAGTATGATGCTGCATGGTTTTAAAGCCACTGCAGTATGTGTATAATATACTGTATATTTATAATCAACATCTAAAATAAAATTATCTGTTTCCTAATTACTTTTACTTACATTTGCAATAATTATATTTTAAAATTAATTTAAAATATACATTATTTAAACACCAATGTATACATGAAAAAACATTGTATTCACAACAGCCTTCAAAGTAGTGCAGTACAAAATCTGATTATTTGTAAAAATTAAAGAGTATTGTGCGCAACAACACGGTGAAATGGAGTATACTACAGTATTTGCAGTATAGCTTATTACACTTCAAGCATTCTGAATATCTGGATCTGTACTGTATATCCCTGTTTGAACACAAGGAAGTGGCTCAGGACAGGATAGAAAGTCAAACACGTCTGGCAAATGAGTATAAGTATACACACTTTTTAAAGTGAATAATTTTAAATCAAATATTTAGAAATCAAATATATCAAATCAAAAAAGTCAGTTTGAAAAAGTCACAGTTAAGTTGAATGGCCTCTGTCTGTGTGCAATAATAGTGGTTCACATGCTTTCATGTGTTTCATGAATAGATACACCCATAACTGTGAGATCCCTAATCAGGCAGTGAATTTCAAGCAAAGATTCAACCAAGACATCCAAGGAGATTTCATAGCAAAAAGTCGTAAAAAAGATATCTTTATCTCAAGGATAAAGTTGTAGAAAGGACACAGATCAGGGGAAGGATATAAAAATATCTGATACTGAAAATATTTTCATCACTGTGAAGGTGATCATTAAGAAGTGGAAGGTGTATCATAGCACCTAGACACTGCTTATGACAGAGTGCCCTTCCAAAGTGAACAGCTAGTCAAAGGAGGAAAT